CAAGGCTCTCGGACAAGGTAAAGAAGTAAAAGCGAAACCAACCACAGAAAGCTGCTGGCCAGGCTGTGCACAGCCGCGTGCATGGGGGACGCACGCGTGCGGCATTCCGTGAAACGCTAAGAGGGCAAGAGCCATGAGCGGCTCTCAAGTGCACACCAAGAACGCTCCTGGTTAGTACCGAGGAAGGCGCACTACAGACCCCAGTCACTCGATTGTTTTCTTCAATTTATAGAGGAGAAACTTAAGCTCCTAATGGATTTCAGGGTTTGTTTATTGTTGTTTTGCTTTGCTTTGGTTTTTGTTGAGATGCAGTCTCCCTATGTAACTCATGCTGACCTTTAACTTGAGATTCCCCCTACCTCAGTCTCCCTGGTGCTGTGATTATAAGCCTGCACCACCATGCCCTGCTCTGTGTGTGTGTGTGTTGTGTGTGTGTGTGACACATGCACATACTAGAGCTTCAGTTGAGTGAGGATTTTTAGGTGCACTCTGCTACATTCAGCCTGGTAAATCTTTTTTTTTTTTTTTGGTTGGTCGTGGGGCTTGAACTCTAGGCCTGGGTGCTGTCCCTCAGCTCCTCAGTTCAAGGCTAACGCTCTACCACTTGAGCTACAGAGCCACTTCCAGTTTTCTGGTGGTTTATTGGAGATAAGAGTTTCACGGATTTTCTGCCCAGGCTGGCTTTGAACCGAGATCCTTAGATCTCAGCCTCCTGAACAGCTAGGATTACAGGCGTGAGCCACCTGGTAAATCTTTTGCCTAGTATTTACCAGATACTGATGTTTTCACTAAATTCCTACCCCTTGGGGCCCCTCCATAGATGGCTCACTCACAAGCTTTCCATCCATTAATCCTCATTTCCACCCAGCAGGTAAGTCTTATCTGCTCCTTTCTCTAGGAGCAGGCAGGTAAGACAGACAGGGCTCGCTGTCAGCCCCAGTCATCTACCTGATGTCATTAGCCACCTAGGATTTTCCTTGGGACAGGCAAGTTCTTCTCCTTCCAGGTCCCAAATACTGAACACAGGTTTTAGGGCCTAATCAAGACTACAAGAAGTGGCACTGTGGCTCAAATGGAAGAGCGCTAGCCTTGAGCAAAAGACAGCATCTAGGCCCAGAATTCAAGCCCCAGGAGCAGCAAAAATCAAAATCTACATTTCAGTTTTTCAAATGCAGCAATGGTACTCACTGGACACTATGCTGAAAATGAACTATACAACTTGTGGGTGGGGATGGGAGGGGAAAACAGAGCGAGGGAAGGGATAATGTTTTCTTAAAAGAAACATACTCTTGTTTTTTTTTTGTTTGTTTTTTGTTTTTTTTGGCCAGTCCTGGGGCTTGAACTCAGGACCTGAGCACTAACCCAGCCTCATTGTGCTCAATGTCTAGCACTCGAGCCACAGCGCCATTTCTGACCTTTTCTATTTATGTGGTATTCAAGAATGGAACCCAGGGCTTCATGCATGCTAGGCTACCACTAAGCCACATTCCCAGCCCCACAAAATGTACTCTTTACCCGACTTAGGTAACTATAACCTCTCTACATTATCTTTAGAACAACAGTAAATATTAAAAAAAAAAGACTACAGCAGCCACAGAGCTACTTAGCATTACAGAATGAAAAGGGCATGGTTTTAAACTGAGTCTCAAGGAAAGTGGAATCCCATCTCACAATCGCATACTTGGCAGGCCACTGAGCACACTCATGCAGCCCAGTCCCTAAACACTCTGGCTCCACTGAAGTCAGACAGGTCAGGAGTCAAAGCATTCAACATTCTGGAACAGACTGTGTGTGCTCAGGATCCCTAGACCACTTCTCAGGACTGGTTTAAACACACACGCGTGCGTGCGTGCGTGCGCGTGCACACACACACACACACACACACGTATATAAAACCCACAACTTCCCTTGTACTTGGTTCCTCCCCAAAGGGCTGTTGGGCCTCATCTGGAAACAGCTGGGAGGCAGAAGTTAACAGGAAGCCAAACCAAATGAAAAACCAAACCAAAACAAATAACAACAACAACAACTACCAGAGTGTGCCCAGGAAGAGAGGCCAGGGACAGACAGGCAGCTGAAGTCAGAAACTGAGACGCAGAGCCGGGCGCTGGTGGCTCTCGCCTGTAATCCTAGCTACTCAGGAGGCTGAGATCTGAGGATCGCGGTTCAAAGCCAGCCTATGCAGGACAGACCATGAGACTCCTATCTCCAATAAACCACCAGAAAACTGGAAGTGGCGCTGTAGCTCAAGTGGTAGAGCACTCGCCTTGAGCTGAAGAGCTGAGGGACAGCGCCCAGGCCCAAAGTTCAAGCCCCACGACTGACAAAAAAAAGAAACTAAGACGCAGAAGAAAACCGATGCTCTTCCTCTCAACCCAAGAAGAAACCTGGACATACAGTGCCGAAGGTTCTGACCAGAACAGCTTGGAGGCTGCCCCCAGTCCTCCCAGCCCACTGCAGACCCGACCTCTCTGAAAGCCAGGTGGTGGCGACAGGAGAGTTGAGGTTAGAAACCAACTTTTCTCCAGCGCTTCTGTCAATCTGTATTAAAGAAACTCAGGGAGGGCTGGGAAGGTGGCTCAGTGGTAGAGCGCTTGCCTTGCATGCATGAGGCCCTGGGTTCGATTCCTCAGCACCACCTGAGCAGAAAAAGCTGGAAGTGATGCTGTGGCTCAAATGGTAGAGCACTTGCCTTGAGTTGAGCTATAGGACAGCACCCAGGCACAAAGTTCAGGCCCCACCACCGACAAAAAAAAAAAAAAAAGAAACTCAGGGAAAAGCCGGATGCTGTGGCTCATGCCAATAATCCTAGTTTACTCAGGAGGCTGAGAGCTAAGGATCTCCAACCCAGGCAGGAACGTTCATAAGACTCTTGTCTGGAAGACGTGCTATGGCTCAAAGTGGTAGAGCGCTCACCTTGAAAAAGAAAAGAAAAAAAAAGAGCTCAAGGGAAAGTGCCCAGACCCAGAGTTCAAGCCCCATGACAAAAAAAAAAAAAAAGAAAAGAAAAGAGAGGGGGGAGAGAAAGAAAAAAAGAAACTCAGGGAAGGCTTCACACAGAGACAAAGAACATCTTCATGAGACATTTCCAGCAGATCTCACCGGGGGCCTGAAATTTTTCTGGTGCTATTTAGTATGTCTTTAGGATATCCAAACTGAGGGCAAAGGTGAGACTGGCTGATTCTTCCTTTTGCAGCGCTTACTTAGATGGAGACCTTTCTAGCCTATACCTCCTATGAGTTAAGCACCATTCTATCTCCCTGATGTGTACAGTTGTTATATTAAAATTTTAAAAAAGAGGATTAAGTTTTCTTAATACATTCCTGTCTTTCACCTCTGGTTTTGTGTGAGAAGGCACTCAAAGCACAGCTCATGCAGCTTTCTAGCTGGGTTTAATCCCATTGGAAGTGCTCAAGATTTGAGAGCGGAGGGTGCAGAGGGCTACAGCCTCAGTGCCATTTGTTTTAAGAGCAGAGGAACATCTTCACAGGCTGGGTGCCAGCTCAGACTGGCAAGACCTGAGAAGCAGAGCAGACTGGCCAACATGCCACGTAAGGGTGAGTGGAGGGAGCGCTGTGATACTGGCACATAAGTCATCAGGGAACCCTTCACGAAAGAAAACAAGGGTGAGAGGTACGTTGTAGGAATATAACATAGGGCAACTCATCATTTATTCCAGAGTGGAAAAAAGCCATCCAGAGTCAAATATCTAGCATTTTAACTATAGGCAAATACATAATAAACCCAGGGCATTGAACACACTAGGCAAATTCTCTACCACTGAGCTACAACCCCAGTCCTGAACAATGCTTTAACTTGGATTTATATAGGGCTTACTATGGGGGAAGAAGCACTGAGGATGTCTGCTTGAACCCCATGAGATTGAAACCAGCCCGGGGAACATAGCAAGACCCTGTCTCAAAAAAAAAAAAAAAATACCAAGAAGGTCCTGGGTAATCCTCCATTCTTCACACTGTTTCTGGGCTCTCCCAGGAAACTTTCCTGTGCTGTCTGCTAGCAGAGCTGAGGCAGGCAGCCAGAGCCAGAGCAGTTACTAATGTAAAAAGGTCCAACTCAGCAGGGAGCCCATCCGGAGCTCCAGCTAGGCTGGGCTGCTCAGGCCACTGCAGTGAAGCACGCCAAAGTTCTGTGGTTGAGGAAGAAAAGTCACCTGAATCAAATTTCTAATAGACATGCATGGGGGGGGGGGAGGGCTGTTAACCCTCAAGGGCCAGATATTTGTGACTTAGAATAAAGGGATCTTAGGCGCAGAGCAAGTCTACAAGAAAGGATGGTTCTGCGGTGTCACACCCAGACACTGACATCTGCCTCACATGAGGCTTCAGGGCTGGCCAGAAAATCCTCCAACTTGCCAGGAAAACAGACTGCACCTCCAGAGGCTGTGACCCCAGACAGACATCTTCCCAAGTGGGAGCACCTAGGACCCAGAATTTTTTTTTTTTAAAGCCTATTCTCCTGAAGTGGGGACAATTTAGGAAAAGAAGCTAACTGGCACAGGAACAAGCTCTTCACCTCCCTCACTCCAGCCCCACAAAACTGCTTCCATGCCATTCCCCCATAACGCAGCCGAGCCCTCCCGGCTCCAAGATGTCACACGATCATTAAAATAGTGGAGCCAGCGCCCTCAGACACACAGGGCAGGTGGTCTCCACCGCCCAGGGCAATCGCCAGCGGCACACAAAGCATGTGGGGGGGAGGGGGACGAGGGAGCTGGGTCTACACCCCCTTTCTGGTCGTCCCAGATGCCTGGCCCCCGGACATTGAAGGGGAGGGCCCGGAGGGAGGGAACGAGAAGCCGGAAGAACCCCAGCGCTGCTGACCAGGGAAGAAAGAGGCCAGGACGGCAGTAGCTCTAGCCACGTTTGGGGGACCCCCAGGCCCATCAATCCTCCCCCGCCCCAGGAGCCGCTCGGGGGCCCCCGGGCGGGAGGCCCCGGGCTCCGGCGGCGGCGGCGGGCCCCAGGCCGGCCGGGCCCTACCTGTAGGCCAGGGTCATGCACTCGAAGAGCTTGGTGAGCGAGGCGTCGATGGACAGGTGGCAGGAGCTGGTCTTGCCGAAGCTGTAGGTCTGGCACGTCTGCTTGTTGACCGTATCGAAATCGTAGCCCTTCTTGGGCGGGTGCTCCCGGTGCGGCGACGACACCATGAAGTGGCCGCTGTGGATTATCTGCTGGCGGCGCGGAGGCT